TTTACTATAATTTTTCAATTTTTATAAAGAGTGCCACTGTACAAGTGCCAAACATTACATCAAAATTGCTCAGGGAATATGCCCATAATGTTACATATTAAATGAGGGTTGGCTTTTCTTGTAAACATCTTGTGGGATCTCCTTTTCATTCTTTCCAGCCCAATGGAATAGTGGAAAGAAATTGTGCAAAGAAAGGGTCTTTCTATTCTGTGTTAGCAGAATAACTCCAAAACCTGAACAGAGCAGGACCAAATTTGGTGCAGGAGGAGAAGACAGGAATGGAAGGGGCAAATTCAGGTTCAGAATTTACCCAGTTCAACTGAGGGTTGTCGGGAAAATCTCCTCAATGGATGTGTATAAAAGGACAGTTGGGTAACAATGTAGATTGCTGCCAATGGCTTCCCTTCTCTATTCTGGCTGTATGATTCAAAATGGAGCACCTGCAGCCCCCTCGTGGCCAATGGCACACATGTACACATGCACAGAGAGAGAGAGACACACACATTAACAATATTGTTGATTGCTGTTGTTTTCTCTTTTAATCTTTTTTACTGATAGGGAATATATGTCACTTAAAGTTATGTGTGAAGCAGTTTATAAACAAATAAACTACAAACAGGTAAATCAATTTAGCTTGATTTACAGTATATATCCCATATACATATGCTTACCTCAGAGGATTACTGTTGTAGGGAAAAAAGGAGGAGGAAGGTATGCTGGATATGTTTACTGCCTTGAGTTGTTTGTAAATATAATAAAGGCGGGCTACAAATACATGCACATTGCACATAAATAGGAAGCAGGTCTGCACACACTCTGATTAGCTCTGGGAACACAGTGCAGATGTGTGTGTGTGTGTGTGTGAACTTACTATGATAAACACTGACCTACACGCATATACAGAAGAAATGCATATATACTTTCGTCTGATTAGAATTTCTCATATACAGCAGCAACACATATCTACCTACCACCCCAATAAGAATGTAACTCATAAACATGCATGTTGTCATACCACACATACTTGGCAACACATATACATACATGCCTTGATTAGTCTCTAGGAAGAAAACATACAGTATATACTGTAGACACATAACGTTTTAGATAGATAATGTCCATGGTCTTTATTGGCAAAGGGATTAAAAAGAATTTCAGGGGTCATACTCTGAAGGCTTTCTCTAACTTTTAAAGAAATATTTCATAACCAAGTAGCATAAGACAATTGCATGTTCTCTATTTCCCTCAGCCAGAAGAAAATCTTTGACTTCTGAGCTCCAGTGAGACCTTAAAACAGGCAACAAATGTAAAACAACTTTCAATGCACACCTGAGGGAACAAAAGTTGCTACAGTCCCTTTTTCAGTAGCCAAACAACAACATATTTGGAGAACAAAAGGATTCCAAAGTTCTGAACTGTATTTTGCTAAGCTAACCCTACTTCTTTCTAAAATGATTTGGAAAACAAAAATTCCATCCATCCATCTAGCAATCAAATTTTTATTAGGGTCAGAGACCAGAGTTCATCCCATCCATCCATCCATCCATCCATCTTCTTAGTTGCCTAATTGAAACTGTACAAACTATGCAAATAAAAAAACAAAGCGCAACAAAACCAAGGTAAATTCAAGAAACTATTCAGTAAAAAACAACCCACAGAAAGAAAATGGTTTAATGAAATTATAATAGTACTGTTGCAGTGTGTTTTGCAGGAAGCTACTTTTGAAATGTACCTGAGATTTCAGTTGGCCTAGAATAGTGTTTCTTGACTTTGACAACTTTGAGAGATGTGGACTTCAACTCCCAGAATTACCCAGCCAGGTGGAGGGAGAATTCTGGAAGTTGAAGTCCATATCTCTTGCCAAGGATGAACAATAGTGGTCTAGACTAGGTGTAATGCCCTCATGATGGCCAGATGAGGAAAATCTCAAAAAGAAATTGGCACTTTGCCTCAATGATCCCAAATTTCTGCCACTTCTGAAATCTGGGATGGTTTTTCTCCATTGGCTCCTCAGAGAGAATGCAAACTATATTTTGTTTTTCATATTGGACAAGGCTGTTTTATTGGTGCTCTTTGATGTTATTGTTGTTGCTAATCTGTTTCATTGTTTTGCTATAAAAACAGAGCTACTTGGAACAGGGTATTTAACACATAGCTGAATGAACGATATCCTGAAGGTCCTTGCCATTAAAGTCCATCCTACCCCTTCTGTCATCAAAAATAAAATAAAAAAAATAAATGAAACAACTAGCAATTTGTTGCTTTTTCGTGACAGCAATGGTGTCATGAAAAAGGTGTAGAGACCTTTATGATTAGTCTTACTTTATACTAATAAGTAAATGTATCTTTTATAATTTTCATAAATAATGCTGTTTATGTTATGCTCACCATCCTTCATATTATTGACACATACACTGCAGAAAATAGAAGTAAGTAATGGCTTTATGTTTACTTCTGTCGATAGATTTTCATCTACATGGTTTCAAAGGCAGATTCAGGCTTCTTTTTTCTTTTTATGAATTCTGGCTGCTGGTTAGGTCCACCTACAAAAATATGGGAGTAGGTGTGTGTGTGACTGTGTACAAAAAAAATGCCTAAATTAAATATTTATCTTTGCACTCCTACTGATATTTTCCTTTCAAAAATCCAGGAAAAGCCTTTATCCTGATCGCATCTCTTATGGACTTCTCTGCATATATGAAATGTATACAGTAGATAAATCAAATCACATGCTAAGTAAATTCTACAGATGAGGAACAGGGACCTGCTTTTGGCTTACAGTTCAGGTTACAAATTTAAAAGGAAAGAGTTTAACCATTTCAGTATGTAAACAGAAGACGCTCATGTTTCCACTGCTCTTTCAGCCTTTGAAATCCCACTACTTCCAATTAGGCTAGGCTACAAGTCCATGCAAAATGAACCCATTAGACTGGAATGTTTGGCTCTGCATCTGTTCTCCTTCTATTAGCCAAGGGTCAAGGCTTGCCACAGGCATGTCATCTCTCACAGTGACATCAGACACTCTCTAAGCTGGAGCGACTAGACATAAGGCACCTGTTGGAAGGGGTTCACAATCTTTTAAGAATGAACTTTGGTAAGAGGTTAAATGAGCACCTGAGCATCTAAACAGGAAGCACTGTAAGGAGGGGACTGAACTCCTGTGTATTATACCTCCTGGTGATGGTATCCAGGACTGCTTTGACAACTGGAAGAGGGGTTTTTTCCCCCCCTCTGTTTCTCTCTTTGTGTCTCACCCTCCCTGCCTCCTCCAGGGCATATGGAAAAGTCAAGGCTGTGCTAGGGCACCGTATGGATAATTTTGTGAGGGACTGTTTAGAAAATGAGAAAGCACAACAAAGTTGACATAAACAATTGAGATGTACTAGGCAACTCAGTTGATAGCTTATCTCAAACATAGCATTGGGCAAAGTAGTGAGCAACCTGGAAGAAATGTTTCCAATCATTCAAAGAAACATCACCTTAAATAACTCACTATAAATGAAACTGGGAATTGAAACTCGTACAATTTCCAAGATTCTGAATTTACTCCAGATTAGCATGAAAGACACCTCACTGCAGTCTTGCTTCCCTGATCCTGTCTCTTTGTGTTGGGCTTACCAGATGTAATAACTGGTAAGTGTTCTTGGTTTAATCTCAAAATAAATGTAAATTGGGAGTTTCCATAGTAGATGGAATATTTTTGGCAGGCATAGTGGACTTTCCTTTCTTTAACTATTTGAATATGTATGTGTCCACATCCAAATAGCCCTTCAAAGCCCAACTTCAAATCCTTCTTAAATCAAATTATGTGCCACATAACAATGCTACTTTTCAACAGCCATCTGCAGTTCTTTGTAGTTCCCTGTTCTGAAGCTGTTTGCAGATGCATTGATTCCAGTGCATGCACATGAATGACATATCCCTACAAATGCTCCCAATATTACAGCAATTATTACCAGTCTAGAGCAAATATCCCTACGTGTTATTCACCTTAGCGTTACTATATTCAAATTAGTATTATTTTAATTAAATCAAAACTACTGAAACTTTTTAAAAAAGAAATCCATCATCCTTCAAACAGATCAGAACAGATTTTTAACTACACACCTAACATCCATAATTAATGCACATAGACAAGTTCTTCCTATCTTTGAGAACTTTCAGCTGTGTAGACTTCAATTTCTAGAATCTTTAGCAAAACAAAAAACAGAAAACCCTGTGCTTGCTGGGGTCTTCTGGGACTTGAATTTCATATATCTGGATGGTGGAAGGACTGAGAAATACTGGTATAGAATATTCCTCTCTTGTAAAATTGATAGGTCCAATCAAGCATAGGGAGGGAGGGAGGGAGGGAGGGAAGGAAGGAGGGAAGGAGTTGGCACTGAGAACTGGGGGACAGAGTGAAAACTAACAAAGGTTGCTTCTGACCTTTGCTGTATGCCTCCATGAGAGTGTTCTGTATCCAGGTCCACTCAGAGAATGTTCTCATCAGCAGGAAAGAAGATGGATCAAACTCAGCAAAAATACAGCAACATAATTAGTATACTGTAATATCTCTTTTCTGAGAAATGATGAATTTGTATAAAGTACTTTGAAATGAGATTTGGGAAAATTTGATTCACCATTAATCACAGCCACTGCCAAAGCTAATATGCCTATCATATACTCTGTAATTCAGCACGGAGGAGTTCCGTACTGAATGCCACCCTGTTCTTCAGTTTGGAAGAACACCTTCTCTGCTTAGTCTTTGAAGGGACAAGGAAGTAATAGTTAAGGTTGTGACTGCAATTAACCACTTCCTATCATTTGTGCACTTCCAGTTAATTTCATTTGTGGGTCATGACATTAGCAGATGGAAGCTGTAGTTGTAGTCCATCTTTATGAATTATTATCTTGGCTCTCCTGCAGTCCCTACTCATCCTTCCCTAATAGCCTCTAAAAATGGTCTTCCAGAAGTACATATTTCTAGCCCATTTTTCAAGCAACTACCTTTCAAAGAGATGGCAGTGTTCCAATTCAAAGACATCTGTGATGCTATGAAGAAATTTCAGATTCCCACATCAGAGTTGTTTGAAGTCAGTGAGTAAGTAAGATGAGGAGAAAATATCTTTGTTAGATTTTTATGAAGCTCTTGAAATAGTTAGGAAAGAATACTAAGGTGGAATTAACAGATACAGGCATTGTGATAAATGCCTTCTGTTTTACTTTTCTGTGCCTCCCAGGAAGACACATATCTTACTGCCTTCATAAACTATACCTACATGGCTGAACATCCAGATTTTCCTCTCTAAAATGAACGGCAGGACATTTATGATCATCATAAAACCATTTGCGAGAGCAGCCACCGAGTTCAGAAAGTTGTTAAAATTAGTTGGACGAAGAGGAAAGTATTGTAAAATAACAGTCACATGTTATTTTCATTATTTATGTATAGTAAAGTCAATTATTATAAATCTTGAATAAAGCTCCAGTTTTGTGGACATCTATAACACATTTCCCACTGAATTAAATGGATCAGAATTGCATTCAATATTTATTCCGTTGACATCTTTGGTTTTCTAACTGCTGTAAGCATATATTGTGATACTTTTTGACTGTATCATTTTTCATGCAATCTTGCTGATCTGGCTTGAACCAACAGGCTGATGTAGTTAAAACTAGCCTACTGGCTTTAATAATTCGGTATCTAAAGGGTATTCTGTCTGTTTATGTCATGCTGCGTTGTTAGAATAGTAAGATTTTGTGCATTATGCACCTTGTAAGATTTTTCTCTACTCTACATGATGTGATTTAATGGTGCATGACAGAAACTGGATGTGCAGAGTTTCTGCCTTTTTGTCTGACTATTTAAAAATAAATAATGATACAGCAGCTAATCTCATATTGCAGTGCAATATTATGCGTATGTATTCAAAAAAAAAGTCCTTTGGATATGTTCTCAAGAAAGTACAGTCTGTCTCAGACTGTAACCTCATACTGACTTGCTGTAAAAATGCACAGTTACATATTTAGATCATTGTAACACTTCAGTATTAATCTGCCCTGAATTTATTTACGTGGTCTGAGCAAACTTTTATATCTTTTAATTTACAGCAATATGAGTATTAAAGACTTTGTTCAGAAAAAGCTCTACCTTGACCCAGTTATAAATAAAAATCAGGAGTATTTTTCCAGAAACTGCAACAGTTTGTGTGTGTGTGTGTATGACCTGTTCCATATTATTGAAATGAAGTGTTACATCAAACCTTACACAAAAGTATAAAATCTATGTTTGATATATTTTTGAAAAGTTATAGGATACCAAGTTATCATTAATTATTACTCAAGTCACAATACAGATAAAGAACAAAGAACAATTGCTACAAATTTCTATCCAGCTAAATTAGTTTAACAACCAATCCATAAAACTAACTTTCGGATCTCAATTTTAAAGGAATGCCGTACAACACTGAAATAGTGCATATGTTATAGATGCACACACATCTATAATTAATGCATATGTTAATTAACATTAATATTAATTGATCTATAATGAATTATACAGAGTAAGCATAAACAATATCAATTGTAATGATGAAAGGATGGTATAATATTCTGGCCCCAAAGCTCACCAGGCCCTTCATTAACCACTAGTCAAACAATCAGGCCCCACGTTAACCCACTCGTCGAATAAGAAAAAGCACTAGTCAAATTTTCAGAGAGGGCAATGGAAGGAAAGAGCCCATTCCAAAGTGCAGAAGTCTCTGGCAGCCTGAGGACTGAGAGAAAACCCTGTTCAGAGGAGGGAAAGGAACCCTCCGGACTGTAAGAAGAAACAAGAGTGGATACTAGAGGGTGGTTGGAGGGCTCTGAACACAACTACTGATAGTTTGAAATGAGCTCTGATTCAAACAGGGAGCCTGAGTCAGGGCCAACCTCTGACTCTGAGGATCTCACAAGGAGGAGGCCACTTCAGAGAACCCTGTGTCTACATCGGAGATCAGCGAGACTGATGTGACTGCAGTGCCTGAGGAGCAGTTGGAAAGAAGCAGAAGCTGAGTGATCTGATACAGGGGTCTGATCCTTTCATTCTTAAGGCACTTAGGGCTGAGCAAAGGTTTGCATAGCTCCTTGCAAGGCAAACATGTTCCTGCTGGTGATTTCTTGCATCTGATATAGAAGCCCTGTTTCAGAGCCATTGCTAGCAAACAATCCCTCACTGGGAACATCTGCTCCAATTACCAGACATACTATTGATGGAAACTATTCTTTTAGACACAGACCCACTGGGTGATCTAACAATGGTGCTACTACTCTATCCTGGCAAGACTTCTGCCTGATGCTTTGAACTTTGCTTATTAGGAATTTGCCTGTAAATTTGCCAATTTGCTTGAGCTATGTATGCATCTGCACGCATGCCTTGTCCACTGCTGCTGCTGGTGATCAATCCAAGTAAAGCCTTTTGAATTGTACTCCTTTGTATTCATGTCAGCAAAAGTTGGGAATAACATAGAAGGTGCAGAAAAGGGGAAGGAAGGAGGAACTGAAACAGCTGCCTGAAAACTACTGGAATAATCTAAATGTGAACAACCAAAGCACATATCAATGAAGCCATAGCCTCCTGTGGTCATCATTACCACTGTGGCTTTTTTGGCTTTATCCTCTTTGAGGTGGCCCAGTCTCCTGATCAAATTTCATAGGGAAGGTAGATTCCCTTTTCAATTCTTCCACTTCGGAACCATGAACCCAAGATTAAAGATCATTTCCGAAAAAAATAAACCACCAAAGAGAGCCAAGTTTCTGACTGCTTAATATGAGGACCAAGCAGAGTCAAAGACTCTAAGAGATCTAGGTCACTTTCAGTTTTATAACAGTAATGATGCCCAAAATACATAAAATAAGCACCTATTGTGGCAAGATAGGTGACACTGGCACTCCAAATAGGGCCTCTTTTAATTTCACTAACTGGAGTTAGTGATAAATGAGTTTCCCATTCCCATCATAAATAATACATTTTACAACTCACTCCTAATAATAATTACTCTGAAGTTAAAGTTCCCTTAATTTAATTACTTTAATTTGTTTACCTATGAAGTGCACTGTGTACTGAAGTCAAAAATTTGGGAAGCATCTGTTAATATTATACATGAAAATATATGACTATACTGGATAGATTTTTAATTTTTGAAACAACTTGTAACCTGCTAGGATGATTCCATATATTCTATCATTTCTTTTGTTACCTATTAATAAGATCAATATTTTGCAGAGACCTGTAGATTTGTTAACCATGAAACACCTATGGTTCTCTTCCACCTGTATTCTCTTTCTCTGTCTCTCCATCTCTCTTCAGCTCTCTCCATCTCTATCTCCATCTCCATCTCTCTTAACTGTTTTTTTGTTTTCTCTTAATCCAAACATTATTTCTCACTGTGTAATCCTATGCATATTTATTTGAACATTAATCTTACCACAGTCAATTGGGGTTACAATACATTGCATTGCGTTCTCTAGCATGATATCATTTTATATTATCTACATTTTAAGTAACAGGGATAATGTATGCTTCATTTTTCTACTGTAGAACATGAATCTTAATCATCATTTTTTACGTTTGCTGTAATCATCTATGTCTGTCTGTCTGTCTGTCTGTCTGTCTGTCTGTCTGTCTGTCTGTCTGTCTGTCTGTCTGTCTGTCTATCTATCTATCTATCTATCTATCTATCTATCTATCTATCATCTATCTAGATTTTGTACTATCAGAGTCAGGTGAGTGTTAATTAAATTGTTCATTAATCTATTGTAATATGTATGCAGTATATTTATTATCTTCACTTTTATTCTAGTGTCCAGCAGAGTTTGACATAACTCAATTCTGATGAGTTACAAATCTGTCCAAGATTATTGATTTCTCACTATCAGCTGGGAAAATAGCCTTTTCTTTTATCAATATTTTACAAAAAAAATAGGTAGTTAGACTATACCCCATAAACTGGTTCTATATTCCTGCCCTCTGTACTGAACAGACTGAGGTCACTGTCCCTCATCTATAATCTGCTGAAGTTTTTGAGTTTTTGAAACTGTGCATTCAGACAGCACTATTATACATTTAAGATAGAATCTGTTTCACAGTACTTAGCAAATAAAGTCCATAGTTTATAAAGTAATTACTGTAAACCGTATGTAATAATCCAATGGCACAGGTATAACCTAGATTAAAAGTAAGAGAGAATATAATTATTGATATGTGCAGCTTAATAACTTTTGAAATATGGCATTCTGGACCAGCCTAGGGCTCTTCCTAGCTGTGATAATAGCACAGGAGGCAAAAATCAATCTTCACAAAGCTTGAAAGTATAGTGATTTTTCTCCCAGGGCAAAATGGAGGTGCAGTCAATTTATTTTTCCAATACCTTACACATTCCTGTTTCGTAACTGTAATAATGTTCATCATCATCCAACTTCAAGCATTATAATCTCAGCCTTTGAGAATGAACATCTCTTTCTGACCTTTTTTGCATTGCAGAGGGAGCTGAGAAGAAAAGCCGCTCTCCTTCACCCGTGAAACGCAAAGCCAAACTGTCTGAGAATCTGGAGGATGATAATGAGGGTAGGTAGGAATCAACCCCTCAACAATCACTCATCTGTTGTTGTTGTTGTTGTTTTAAATTCTGGATGGTAAGATCTCCTTCATTATTCAATTATATATTCGTAAGCCTATTAGACATTATTTCTAGAGTGCTCATATTTACAAGCTCAGGTGCAATTGGGCCCTGGCTTTGCAAGCAAAGTAAGATATTTTCTAATCTTCCTACCTATAATGTTGCCCCCTGGTTGTGTAATGGTGAAATACAATATTTTCTAGTATGAAAAATGTTCACAAATGTTAAAGTATTCTTTGGAATGAAGTAGCTTCAAAAACCAAATGTATGGGTTTCAGTTGTAGGACATAGAAAATAACCAGTTATGCAGAACATACCACAATTTCAAAATAGAATTATTTTTGGTGATGGCTCTAGTGAATCTTTAGTAAGAATGGTGTTGGGTGCATTTGCATGTTGCATGGATTAGCACTGCATGCATGAACAGAAAACATCCCATGTTAAGCTTTGGTGTCATCTCGCCTTTTCATCCATATGACCAGAAGAGGCAAAAAATCAGAAAATGACAAGAAAATTCCTGACTGGTATAATATGCAAGCCAAGAACAATTGCTTAAGAAAATATCACATTAGCTACTGAAAAAGCCAATATTAACCCAAATTTGTTTTCAAACAATTTATTGTTGATTGTAATTCCCACTGTATATGAAGTAGGATATGCAAGAATTGGGTATGTCTAGTTTAATGAAGAGAAGGACTAGGGGTGACATGAGAGCAGTGTTCCAATATCTCAGGGGTTGCTACAGAGAAGAGGGAGTCAAGCTATTCTCCAAAGCACCTGAGGGCAGGACAAGAAGCAAGGGATGGAAACTAATCAAGGAGAGAAGCAACCTAGAACTAAGGAGAAATTTCTTGACAGTTAGAACAATTAATCAGTGGAACAGCTTGCCTTCAGAAGCTGTGGGTGCTCCAACACTGGAGGTTTTTAAGAAGAGATTGGACAACCATTTATCTGAAATGGTGTAGGGTCTCCTGTTTGAGTAGAGGGTTGGACTAGAAGATCTCCAAGGTCCCTTCCAACTCTGTTATTATGTTAAATGTCAAATCAGGGCATTAGCAGAGATGAATCCTGCCAATCAACTGAGAGGGAAAGAGGCAGGAGGGAGCGAGATTATGCTTTGGTGTTACATGTGAATGTAACCAGAATAAAATTATAGTTAGGTGTTACATTTGAATGCGAGCACTGTTATCCAAAAATTGAATTGCTGAATATAAAATTTGGCAAAATCCATTGACTTGTGCTTTCCAGATATTGTTATACTAAATCTTTAAGCATTTCTTAAGTTCTTGGTTAAAGCTACAGAGGCTTATAGTCAAATAAAATTCATAGTAAAACCAGAAAATAAAATTTCCTGTATATCCTCCACCAAGGCTTATTGAAGTTGACAAAGAGTGTTTGCTTTCAAAAGTTATTTCTGAGGAAAGGTGATTTTGGAGAAATGCTCTTACGTTGGAGTGTGACATGCTTGAACTTGTTTTATAAGAGAGAAAAATGTTGACATATTTAAAATGTGAACCTCTACTATTTAAGACTGGGGATTTATATAGTTTCTATATATCTACATTATACAATCTGCACAATTACTCATTTAAATCATTATGATTAACACCCCCACCCCATTCTCTCTCATTTTGTAGAGTACTGGGCCATTTCCTTAAGTTTAGGTGAGATGTATTAAGTATTGTAATACTAGGTATCTTGCATTAAAGCACTGTCATACATTACATTAAATGAAAGACATTTTATTTTTCATAAACAGCTTGGTAAAATTTGTGACTGGCAATCTCCCCCAACCTTCTTATCTTAATGATGCAAGGACTACAATCACTGATAACATGGCCATGAGCCATGCTTACTGGGTGAAATGATGAAATCTGTAGCCTATGATCTTAGAGGATTCTAGGTGAAAGAGGCCTTCAGAGTTCAATATATTTGGAGTGTTCATCTGTCTATAATGAATAAGACACCATGGAACACCATACATGTGTTCTGCTTGGCACATGCTATCCAAAACACATGATTTAACTGCAGTATCTTTAGCCTATTAGGTAGATACCCTATTTATAGGTATCATGTTGTTAGGGAATAAAAGTAATTGATGGGTTACTTTAATCAACACTGAAAACAGAAATCAGCCAATCATCTTTAACATGGTTAGCCATGAATTGACTTCTTTGCCTTTTAGCATTTACTGTATATTCAACATGAAATTTGTGAAATATTATTGAGGAAGAAAGAGATGTAAACATACCGACGGAAGGTTATTTTTACTGCTCTCATAGAGAGCCAGTTTCATTCTATCGTTTCAAGCAACATTACTCAACACCTATACAAAGTTTGACAAAGCAATGGACAATTATGTTGCAATTATTTCTATTGTTTTTATGGAGATGAATGCTTCTGGGGGTTTCTCCTCTGTTAAAATATCTGGGGGAATAAGACATCTTAGTGAACTTTTGCCTTTTTAAAACTATATCTAGTTGCCAAGCTGCCCATCCATCTATGCATCCATCCATCCATTCCTCTATATGACCACCCTTTGTACCAAAGTGACTTTAGGTGGCTAACAAGAATAAAATACAATATAAAACTATTGTTCCCAATATCCTTATTGTAACCCAAAATTACAAAACCTGCAATGATCAGGAACAGATGTTGAAAGAATATGCCCAGAGAGGATTAAATGTAAGTTTAATCTCAGCCTTATTTACTAGTGTACTTAAACAGCACCTATGCACAATATCTTCATCAAAATTGTGTGTGGGGGGGAATTCCAAAAGCTAGATTTTTCTCGTTATTTTCCCTTTCCCTTTTACATTTTTTAAAGCGTTCAATCAAACCCCTTTCTCTTCAATAAAGTAAATTTTATAGATATCTTGAAAAGGACAGTTTAAATGAAGATAAAATACCACAGAAAGAGCCTCTTGGGAAGTGCCAAGAAACAAATGTGGCCACAAAGCATTCCCTTTTTAATGCAAATATATACTTACAGGAATTCATTTTCTACAGTCTGTTTAGAGTTTAATATTTTATTTTCTCTTTTGACAGTATCCATTTATCTTAAAACATTATAACCAGGTTCTAAATTTGCCTTTCTTCTCTTGAAACTGCGTTGAATATTATCACATAGAATGGCTAAAAATCATATTATGACTGCAGAAGAATTCAGGGAAGCACAGAATCATGAGAGCTGGACCTAAAGCCTTATGTCCAGACCTGTGCTCAGGGCAGACATGTCAGACTTATGGCTATTTAGCCTTTGCTTAAATACATACATTGGTGAGCTAATCAGCACTATAGATCAGGGGTCTCCAAACTTGGCAACTTTAAGACTTGTGGACTTCAACTCCCAGAATTCCCCAGCCAGCACATGCTGGCTGGGGAATTCTGGGAGTTGAAATCCACAAGTCTTAAAGTTGCCAAGTTTGGAGACCCCTGCTATAGATAATCAATTGAATTATCATATGAAAGTGCTTGTACTGTTGGGAGTATTTTATGACATTCGCTTTGGAATCTTCCTTACTTTATAACTTTATTCTGTGTTCTGAAGTTTGGAATGCTAGAACATAAGTCTTGATCTTCTATGGAACATCATGTTCTCATATTCTCAATGAGTTTTTCTAAGGCTAACTTTTGCCTTTAATCTCTCTGGTAGGACCTAATCTCTTGTTTAGCCCCATTACTTTTCTCTCAGCCTGTTTTATTTTATCCAAATCCTTTTTAAAGTATGTTGTGCAGAACTGGGCACAGTATTAAGTGGGCTCTCACCAATGCAGACTTATAGTGGAATTGTCTTCCTGTGACTTGGAAACTCACATTCTGTTGATGTAGCCCCCCCAAAAAATAAAAATCTATTTGCCTTTTTAACCAGCCACATCACACTCTTGATTCATACTTAAGTAGTGAAGCATTTACAACTTCAAGGTCCTTTTCACACATATTATCTCCAGCCAAGTATTACCTGTCCTGTATCCCTACGTTTAATTAATTTTTCCTAAATGAAGAACTTCACATTTGTCTGTATTAAATCTCATTCTGTTTTTTTCCAGTCCACTTCTCTAACATTCTAAGATCATTTTAAATGTTCTGTCTTCCAGAGAGTTAGGTATCCTATCCAGTTTGTGTCATCTGCAGATGTGATAAGCGTTTCTCCATCTCGTCTTCTGTGTCATTAATGTAAATGTTGCAATGTATTAATCCGGAGATCAAACCTTCATGAAGGAATCATTGATGAGTATTTTCCATGGACGGCTTCATGCTGACAATTCATCTCTCTTATAGATGTGCCATCTAAGTTATACTTTAGCTTGCTAATTGGAGAGTCATGAGATACTTCAAGTCCTTTGATGAAATCATGCTATATGAGTTGTGCATTGTATTCACAGAATTTACTAAGAAACTTACCTGATCTAAAACTGAAAAAAAAATCTGTGCCGATTCTAGTAATCACTGCATTATGCTTGCAAATTATTTGCTTTATGACTTGCTCTAAAGTCTTCCCAGTTAACACTGTCAGACTGGCTGATCTATAGTTTCCTGGAGCCTTCTTTATCTTTTTTTTGAAAATAAAGACATTTGCTTCCTCCAGTCATCTGGTACTTCATCCAGGATGTTCCAAAGATTATGAATACAGTTTTTGTCAGCCCATCAGCACGCCATTCCCTACCCTAGAATGCTATATGTCTGGCCTTGAAGATGTCAATTCATTCAAGGTGAGTAGGCTCTTTCAGCCTACGCTTCAAAGCTGACAGATGGAATGTTTCTCCTCTTCTCAGAGAAGATTGAACTGAAATAGCAGCTTTTTCTGTGTTAATCTGGGTTTTTTTTTGGGGGGGGGGGTTGCAATTTTCAGTGAGTTCCTGATAAATGTGTTTCTTTCAGTGTGTTTTTTTAAAGACAATTGCAAAAAGAAAAATTAATATCCTTCATCTATCATATCTCATTCTGA